ATATGGTTGGTTTCATCTCAAATCGTGCAGGCAAAAAGGGTCGAATTTTTAATTTCGATGAAAAAAAATATATGGTATGGCGCCGTTTCTGAAACCGCAGTCGCCACAAATCGCAAGTTCGTCGGATTTTTTGTTCTCGACTTATGAATTTTCAAAGAGGCCGCGGCGAAAAGCAGTGTTTTTCACACCCGTCGTGGGTCGGATGTTTCGCTTGACCTCCCGCCGTGGATTTTCAGTCCACATTATATTATCTTTTTTCAAGCACTCTGTGGACACATTTAAAAGGCTCCAATACCATGAAATAATTTTAGGCGTTTTGCTTTTTTTCTGTAAAAATGTCAAAAACGCCTCCTCGGTCAATTGCTGACGAACTTTGACAATTAATTACTGGCGATCTACTTGGGTTACTCCGATATTTTTTATGTCCACGGAGAGCCCAATACACGATCTTTATATTTATTATAAAACTACACGGCTGTATAAAATATCTTTTGCGGTACGTTTACGTTAATATCATGCAAAAACCAAAAAGTACCATTTTTGAAATAGATTTTCTCAAAAAACCCATTTTTTATTTTTTTGTTTTTTTGTTCGAATGTAGGTATGATAGTTTTCTACACAAAAATCAAGCCTAGAAAGTGTATGTTTTGTTTGTATGTTTTATATTTAATCCTCAATCTCGGAAAAAGACGTCTTTGTTTTGCAAGACCTAAGTCAGACATAGCGACCCATGCGTCTCTATGAATTCTAAAAATGTTTTCTTTAATTTTCTTCTGCATTTTGTAATCAATTATAAACCGATTTTGTGGTATTGAATATTTATGTATGTTTTGATAAGAGCGGGAACCGCGAGATACATATCTAACCAAATCAGCAGGCCTAGTAGACTTTCAATAACCAAAAGGCACAGACGTTGTATTGTTTCGATTTATAAACCTTTCACAGTAAACTAGCACGACTAGCTATTAGCTGTCATATTACTAAGACAAAGAAAGTCGCCACATCGTCGATATATTATATACAATTCTTTCCGAAAGCAAACACTGGGGGTTTGTTCACCGCACATCGCACAGGTCACCAGGGAATATCCTTTCACTTCCGTAATACACAAAAGTGGTGACACAGAAACGGTCCGAAACACACAGAGAGTGTGTCATGGAGAGGGGTAGGAAATAAAAATAAATAAATAGGAATTAAATTGTCCAACTCCGATCTTAACGAAAATTGCGTTAAAAAAAAATAAAGTATTTAGGTTCGAGCGGTGGCAAGGCGATAGGTCCACGCCTGGTGGAGTGTCAGGCAAAGAAGTCGACGGCACGTAAAGGTAAAACAGACAAAAAAAAAATCAATAATTTAATAAAGACGGGAAAACTCAGCCGCACATGGCAAGAACAAAAACCAACTCCTCCGGGCATTCCCTAAACGGGACGCAACCAAATGCGTGCGAAAACGCTCTCTACATCACCGCCAGGCCGCTACGCCATGACGAAATAAACCCAACAACTGAACAATGCTAACAAACAGTTAGTAAGAAAACAATGAAAAAAAAAAAAACGTTCAGAAAAAACCGCACCCGAGAAACAAAGTTCAGCGGGGCGAAGAAACACACGCGAGTCGGTCCCACGACACTGAAGTCTGGCAGGATGACGGCGTCCAGATGATGCTCGAATCTGTTCCTCCCTCTATTACGCACATCCACGACGGCTGTGCGGAAGAGTGGCTGTGCGAAAGAAAGTGAAGAATAGATTCGAGCAGGCGATGCGCGAGAAGGTAACCGAGACTATGCCTCAAGCTTCATATCGGGAGAGGAGCTTTCGAGGTAGTTTCTGCAGTTACTCAAACTTTCTCTTTCCCCTTCCCTTTTTCAAAAGAACACGTCAGCCGGCGCTAACTTTTCATCTCGGGAGAAGCCCACTCTTCACAAACGGTTATAGTTGACAAGGAGGCTGACTTCGACAAAACTAGTCTCCGGGCAGAATACAAACACAAGTATATTTACCAACACGCTCGTTTTAATGTCAGTCTCCGGGCTTTGCTGTTTCCAAAAGAGATAACCCTTTATAAGGACAGAACGAGCGGGTTGGTGGGGATAATTAAACTTAAACAGTCCCTTCTCGTTTTCTTTCTTAAGTTTAATAGATAACCCTTCGGTGCTATCGGATCTCCCCGGAGAGAGGGAGAGAGCACGGCCGTTTCAAGGTAAGGATAGGGCGCTCGAGGCTAGGGCAAACAGGCGGTATCGTTTCACGCATGCACGGATGACTGGTTTCAAATTTCCCCACATCCCTAACGAAACCGGCCCATCTTCGTGTGTGCGTCTGCGGGATTTCTGTCCCGCGCCGCCGGTTTTAGCGCGCACGCGGCGTTGTTTTGGCTGGCAGAACAGTTGTTGACCGTCGATATTGTAAGGCCGTGGTGTCCTCATCCTTTCAGGCAACGATTCCTTTGCTTTCCCTTGTGCAATACTCTGACTGACTCCTCCTGGGTGGCTGTCACTGTTCGCCGCGTCAACGACACAATCGTACCATTTCACTCCTCGTGACACAGGGCGTGCTGCTCGCTTTACTGTCACGGGCCGTCCTATCGAACACAACGAGCGCGAAAAATCGTGGTCATCTGCTGGCTCCGAAAGGGCGGGACGTTCATGCAGGCCAATGAGGGCCCCGAATCAATACGATGTCTGCCGACTCCTACACGTTAAAAATTTACGACACCTGCTAGTCTCTTAAGAAGTGTTGCTTTCTCTTCTTGGAACTCCTTCGATGTAGCTTGCCGCCTACAATAAAATTTAAATAATCAATAAATATAACAGGGTGGAAATGCTGTATTTCATTTTTATGTGGCAACGTTGAAAAAAAGAAAAAACTATTTCCAAGCTTGTGAAGACGCGCCATTCGGAAGTCCATTTCGAGCCGTAAAAACACGTTTTTGTACGATATTGATACTTAAATATAAAACATACAAACAAAATATACACTTTCTCGACTTGATTTTTGCGTAGAAAACCATCACATCTACATTTTAACAAAAAATAAAAAAATAAAAAATGTTTTTTTTTTAGAAAATCAATTTCAAAAAATGGTACTTTTTGGTTTTCACATAACATTAACGTAAACGTACCGCAAAGAATATTTCATACAGCCGTGTCATTTTATAATAAATATAAAGAACGTGTTTTGGGCTCTCCGTGGACATAAAATTTATCGATGCAACCCAAGTAGATCGCCAGTAATTAATTGTCAAAGTTCGTCAACAATTGACCGAGGGGGCGTTTTTGACATTTTTACAGAAAAAAAGCAAAACGCTTAAAATTATTTCATGGTATTGGAGCCTTCTAAATGTGTCCACAGAGTGCTTGAAAAAAGTTAAAATAATGTGGACTGAAAATCCACGGCGGGATATCAAGCGAAACACCCGACCCACGACGGGTGTGAAAAACACTGCTTTTCGCCGCGGCCTCTTTAAAAATTCATAAGTCGAGAACAAAACATCCTACGAACTTGCGGTTGTGGCGACTGCGTTTTTAGAAACGGCACCATAACATATATTTTTTTCATCGAAATTAAAAATTCTACCCTTTTTGCCTGCACGATTTGAGATGAAACCACCCATATATATATATATATATATATATATATATATATATATATATATAGGGATATATAGATACCGGGTGTTCATTTTTAATTCGAACAGATTTATTTTTTAAAAAAGCCGTGAAAGTTACACTTATGCAGCTCGTGAAGGTGAGTTACGCGGCCAGTGAGACATATTATAGGGGGCTAATCGTAACGATCAGTTGGCTACTTAACTAAAATTCGATACTTAACTTTTAATTATTGAAAATTGACATATGGTTCCAACTAAAACTTGCTCAGCGTCATCGAAAACCACTAAATCAGTCATTTTCAGAAAGACTTCGAGCGCGTGAGAAGCGTAGTAGTGCGCTAAAGTTACCACTCGTGGAGCAGGTACAAGGCTAGCTGTTGCGATAAGGCGCCCGCGCGATTTTTCCGTCTCTTATCTAGCCCCAGCCTTGTACCTGCTCCACGAGTTGTAAGTTTAGTTCAATACTACGCTTCTCATGCGCCGAAAGTCTTTCTGAAAATGACTGATTTAGTGGTTTTCGATGACGCTGAGCAAGTTTCTAATTGGAACCACATGTCTATTTTTATTAATTAAAAAGTTAATTAACGAATTATAATTAATTAGACGACTGATCGTTACGAATAACCCCCTATAATATGTCCCCCTGGCCGTATAACTCACCTCCACAAGCAGCATAAGTGTAACTTTCACGGCTTTTTTGAAACAAAGCTGTTAAGCTTAAAACAAACACCCGGTATATATATATATATATATATATATATATATATATATATATATATATATATATATATATATATATATATATATATATATATATATATATATATATACAGGGTGTTTCACGAAAAGTGTACAAGTTCGATATTGCGAAAACGACTCACTGCAACAAAAAAGGCTTGAATTGTTTTGGTCCTGGGCCAGGGGCCTATTTAGAAAAATTATGAAAGTCCGGGATAATTAGATGGTTAATTCTTTTTGTGCAATTAACTTTTTAATATTGTGTTTAAGGGCATGGTTTAAATGAGAAAATTGCTCAGCATCATCGAAAAACACTAAATCAACAACTTGCAGAACAATAGAAGGCACGCGCAGCATTTTACGGCTCTCTGAAAAACCGCACAAATTCGATGTTTTTTTTTTTAAGTTTCGGTATGCAATCGGAGCGCATCTCGGCCATGACGGCACCGCGCCCCGTGGAGAAATAGTGCAACCAACCTCTGCTGCGCTGTCCTCGCGCAAAGCAGCAGAGGCTGCTTTGCGCGAGGACAGTTAATACCGTATTGGATGTATCAACTCAGACGTCCTAAATATACATTTACATAGGCATCTGCGTTTGGTACTTTCCACTGAGTTATTTCTGATGCCTTTTTCTCTGCAATCACAACCTTTAGGTGTACCCGCTTACCGAGCCATTTTACGAGCTGTACAGGAACTACGAGGAAGACCCATTTCTGGGCACTGCCAAATGCGTGAAGTTCAGTCAGGTGGGCCCAGAAGAGGATCGCGGATACCCGATATTAGCTCAGTGGGGAGAGGACAACCAGTCGATGTAAGTGGCATTTCAGAACGCATCATGCACCATCAACTGCAGGCACTCGTAAAGGCTCTCGCGCAGTGAACACCAGAAAAAAAAAAATTAGAAGAAGGAACATCACACCCAAAATTCACGAATCCAGTTGCTGGCATCGGTTATTAAATTAGCTCGTTATTTTCGCTATTAGTGCTGAGAAATCCGTTAATCAAGAATTGGAATACATTAGGTAAATGCCCACTATGTGAATACGAGGATGACATCATGTCGCATCGAGCAGGTCATTTTCTCCCAGCTCCTATCTTCAAATGGTTCCAGGCGTAACACGCATCGCTAATAAAGTCGTCCTTTAAATCCTCAGCTGCTGGCATTTGCAAGATTGTTGGTATTATTTTCCGAGGCAGAGGTCTATGTCTTATAATTTTATTAGCTTGTATCCACCCCTCAATGCACATTAAATGAAAGTTATTGGTTCTTGCGTGCATGTGCTAAATTCATGGCTCGTTTTAGAGCACAGATTCGTTGTGGGCATTACATACATTGCGTTCACGAATAGTAGTGCAAGCCTCTCTCACGCAAGTTATCTCACTAAGAGTTCTGTCACATCTGCTTGGTCCACAGGATTGCATATGCAAAACTTGAATCCAGTGAAGGGTACACAGCAAAAAACATGGTAGTCTATGCGGTGGAAGGTGGTAAGTAGGGTCGTGCTGCTTATAACCATGAACTGCATCCTTAGAAAGATAAAATATAATGCTGACGTGGGTATAAAAATTACAGCGATATTCACCCAAAATACTTACGTTGCAAGGAATCTATCATTTATGAAGCGATGATTTTTATTTGTTTACGTTATATTTAAAAGTTGCTTTGGGGGAATGAAGTACGTCCTGCTCAACGATTGGTATCACCCACCCCTCACATATTATTAAGCACTACGGAAGGAAAGCAGCTGGATGCTGTAATTCGGTAATTTAGAGCCTACACTCTAAACCCTGCGCGTTTACGGTGCGCAAATTAACAGTGCACCGAGATGCCGAAAAATAGCATTCGTCTAATTCTATAACAGGTACAGCGTGCGAATCCGGTGAATGAACCCGTAAACGGCACTGTGAATACTGCCTTCAGTCGCTCAGGTGTCCTTTATGTTCTCGCAAAAATGCTGAACTTCTAGTACAGTAGCCCAAACGTGGGACGAAATAGTTCTATCCAGCGACTGTTGTGCTCTTTCTGGAAAATTATAATACAATTAAAAAAATCACCCAACAGCCACAGAGGATAGGCAATTTTTCGCTGATCGTTGGGTTCCAGGTTTGATTATATGTTAGGTATCGCTGTACATGATGAATTTACCCAAGGATGGGGTTCTCTATAGGACGTCAGAAATAAGAAAAAAAAAAAGAAAAAAACGTAGTTATATTTTCGTGGGCCGAAGGGGCCCTTCTATAGACAATACACAACAAAAAGCAGAAAGGGAGGCACTATGGAACACTTTCAACATATGAAATTCCGTTTACAATTACTGCACAAACGTAATTGGTTTCCAAACTTCCGATTGGGCACAACCTAATACTTACCCAAGTTTAGGAAATACAAGAAACTGATTCTTTAAACTACGGGTGACAGCGTTTAAAGAAGCAGGAAGTGCAAGTGAGTTTAGAACCTCGGAAATAAACAAAAAAAAATATACGCCGTTCGAAGCTTAAAGGATAAAATACAAAAATATATAAAACCCGGTTCTACAACCAATAAAAATTGCTACACAAGGAACTCCTTCAATTTTTCATAGACACGTGAAACTTATTCGTGGGTCAATGATGTTATTGGTTCTTAGCTTTTACTAGACGATTGTGCTCATTCCTTTCAGTCCCTAGTAGTTCAGTACAGTTCAATAAAGGCGCACAATTATTACACTAAATGAAGTGTTGGAACACTTCTGCACACAGCTCTCTACTTTTTATGTAAACTTTTTGCGCATTCGACTTGTCATTAATGCAATGTTTTGTCTTTAAACGTCACAACCTCCAAACCAAATGGAATTCATACACACTTCAGGAGGTACCATCGATATTTCTAACCCTGTGTTGTTTCAGTATGCCCCTCTGAAAGGAAGTGAATGGATTTAATTTTTTCAAGCAATAATAACGGAAATCGGTGTTTAGGTTGAATTTATGACCCGCGTAGTTTAGGTAAAGGGGTAAAATATAAAATAAACAAATACAACACGTCTTAATTGGTTGGTATCCTTCGGGAACTTCTTTCTTGGATAAAAAATGTTCAAATGTTGCTATTATACATATTCAGTACAAAAGGTGGTGACATATTGTATCTCCACTATTGCGTAAAACATTAATTTTGATTGCGAATTTTGCTACAGTTGTCGGACAAAATTGCGCATTAATGCCTTCATAAATCACCATAAATTAACGTTGCATAGAAAATAAGGAACCGTATTTGGAAGTGTCAAAACACTGGATCAGTTCTAAGAACTGTGTTCCTGTATTGAACTCTGCTCAAGTAGTATTGGCCGAAAGGAATTACCCCACGTGTTTGCTGAGAGAAAGAATAACAATATTGAAGCGTGGCACTCTGGGGAATAAGCCTTCCTGGTATTTTGATTTGCTTTGCAAGAATAGTGTTTGCCTATTCTTTTTGTCGATTGTAGTACTGGGTTCGAGTAATCATTTTCTTAGAACCTTTATGCTTTTGTGAGAGTTTCTTTATTTATATTCTACATTGTACGCCCTAGGGCATCCACTGATTTCAATGGCCTAGTAATCCGGAGGTCAGTAGCTGAAACTAGTTTCTTCCTGTTTTGCTTTGCGTCTTCTGTGATATGACGTATTTTTAAGTCCATTAAATTGATGGCTTTCTTAAGTTCTTTACTGTTTAGGTCGTTATTTAGAAGAAAAAAAGCCCTTCTTTCGAAAATTCCCCATGTATTTTTTTTTTCTGCACGAGCCAGTTTGAGCTCTCAAATATTTTTTAACGAGTGTGCATTTGTCCATTTCTCAGTAGGAGCTTATGATATTGTGTTGCTTATGATGTCGTGGCAACAAAACTGCCGGTGCTGGCATGCTATGCCATCGACTATCAAGGGTCGCAAGGAAAGACGCACGGACAAATTTCGGGGAGAGGATTCCCTTATAAACCTTTCCCTGCTTTAAAAATGCTCTTGGCGATCATATCTGCGTTTTACAGCCAAAGACGCGACGGTAGGCATTTTGATATCGAGTGTTTTGCGTTCGGCCTAATATATCATTACCCATTTTCAATACTTAATCATATTTCAGTGGATGGGTCACTGCCCTTATACGTTACATTCTTGGAAGTCGGCAACTGCGGAATAATAAGGAACGCCTACGTGAACGGTACGTGTGAATTTTTGACGTTTTATAAAATGTTCAGAGTCTCAGTATTTTTCTTTGTTTTGTGTTGCAATACATGCGAGTCTCTCCCGCGAGACCACACAATATACGTGTTAGCTGGCATAGCGTTATTATGCGTAAACCCGAGGAAATAAAATGGTAATAAACAATCGGTTTCACACCATGTCGGGGATGCCTGTCAACCGTTTTGTCTTTCAGTTTCATTTATATAGATGGTGAAAACAAAAATCTATTTACTCTCTAACATCGTACTCATTACTATATTTTCATTAGATATATGATTAAACTTACTTGTAATTGTGAATAAAAGGCTCCAATACCATATGCCTGGAAAATGCATTATCAGTTGCTGTACTCATGGCAAAAGGTTGCAATATTGACAAACGGAATGACAACCGCCATGGCTATTATTTCTTCTCCAAAAACATCAAAGCAAATTGCAAAGCTCACCTGTCAGTTACTGCATTACACTGTTTTATGGGCGAAAGCATGGTTTGACGCGAGCGAACGGTAAGCCATATGTTACACAGATGTGGTTTAGTTTATTTTGTTATAGGGCTACGTGTCAAGTAATTTGATATATCGTGTGCATTAAGATACATTGTACAGCGCACATATTCTCACATTACAGAGGATTCATGCTGTGTCGTCGTTCCCGAGAGTCATCTTGGACAGGAGACGGTCATTTGCGACTTCGTGTACGACCTGTTGTGTGGTAGTTATAAGTACCAACTCTATGACGAAAGTTGTAAATGGTGAATGAATAATATTCACCTGTCTCGCCGTTTACAAGAATTATTTGTCCAAGGCACTCCACAGTTTAACATCATGGATTTCTTGGCCATTTTGTTTACGTGCCTGTTTCTTTCTCTGTCTGGTTGTTCTGGTGGTGGAGCCAGTCCTTAATAAAGGAGGCTTGGGTTGGCCGAAACTTGTACCTCGCCTTTTTGTAGTAAGGGCAGTTCCACTCGAGGTGGTATATATCCGCGGGTTCATGTGTGTCACCTTGGCGCACCGGCTATACCTTTTGCTTCTGCTCCGCTTGGCCAACTTGACCGCAGTACGAGCGGCATCCGCCATGATGCGAGCTAGGCAAGTATTGTCCTTACGGCGGGGTCCCTGAGGCAGGGAGTAGGGTTTGGGAGAATCCTTTCCCACAAGGTGATTTTGTTAAGTTACTTAATATTTGTACTGTCCAGTTGGGTGTGATCATGGGATTTGTTGCTCAGGGAAAATGAGGCAGGATATACGTGGTCGTATTTCAGTGGACCCGAGCCAACGTCCATGTGGAATAATGAAAGGGACTCGCGAGCGAGCAGATGGGCGTCGTCATTTCCGGGGATTCGAACATGGTTAGGTATCTTGACGTCGGTGCCTTGCTTGCTGTGCTCGGCATCCATTAAAGTATTTCACCTTGCCGTTTGCCCTGGCTGCCTTGTTGTATCCTTCTAGTGCATCTCTGCGTTAAAAAATACCACAATTAAAATATGTTTTAAATGCATTTAATACTTGCATTATTTCGTATCGTTTGTCCGAATTCAAAATGCATCCTTGTATACACATTTATATTTCCAATACTTTAAAAATATGGCAAAAAGTATATTCTAAGCGCATTATATGTGTAATAAAATGTAAATCAATTTATATGTATAAAACAATTGAAATGTATTTCGCATCCTCTCACATTATTTTGGCTTATCAGTACCCTCTATTTTCTTATTTTCAATGTCATTGAGGCAAATATAGAGGATATTCAATTTATATGAATAAAATAATGTATTTAAAATGCATTTCTAAAGTACTAACAATGTAGATATGTATCTATATAAATTTGAGGTGCGTGTGGAATATGTATTTTAATACACGTATTTTCAGAAATATATATTTAGGACAAGACTAAAACTGAGAAGAGTTTTTTTGTATACATTTTATGCAAGTGGTAATACAATATACACTTTAAATGTATTTGATATATTTTGCACATATTTCAATTCTATTAGTTTTCGCTAAAGGATGGGATTCGTAATGATGCTATACCCTTTAGGCCCGATTCTGTGTCGCTGCTGTAGGACTAGGCTAGGGACATGCGGATGGCCTCCAACTCTCCTCAAATAAACGCTGTGCTTCCTGGGAGGGGTTGCCCGGGCCAGTTTACTTGAAGCCGGTTAACTTAAACCGCAGTGAAAAGTTAACCGCATTTCCTTATGAGGGGGAATTTCAGGTCACGTGACCGGCAGAGTAAGGAGGTCGGGGAAACATGGCGGTGCCCCTGCGAGCGAGAGTAGCTCGCTTTGAAACTAATATATCATAGTAGCTGTTATATCGGAGGCGTTAGTAAGCAATCAAAGGTGCAGGAGGCTTTCGCTTTGCCTTACCTCACTTACAACGCAGAACATGAGCAATGAACTTGCCGTATATTTTAGAAAGTCTTCTGATTCCGGTCAATCTTAAGCATAAATGAACGCAATAATTGTCGGCATGGCAACGTCTTTCGAATACTATACTGGACTGCCTTGGCTCAATCGGCCGGATATTGATGCCACGCAGCAGACAGCGTCCCGATCAACGAGGTAGAGGGGCTTAGAGCGATAAACCGAGTGCCGGTCTGCAGTCGAAAGTGAACCCCATAAGGCCGCTGCCATTGTACGCAAATGTGACCACTCGTCATGTGACCAAACCAAATATCTGACGTCACAGGAAAGATGGCAGCGCCCAGGTAACGGCTGGCCCCAGCAGGGCCGCAGCTTGTCGGATGGTTTGTTCGTTGTCATTCATCTCGGCGAGTTGATTTTAGATGCGGAAGCCGTTATATGAGGCCACTCATAAGCGACTTCAAAGTTCAGTGTGGCATAGGTATAACGGGAAAATACGGAGGAAATTGCTGGTGATCGACGGGGATATGTCAACGAAAGAGATAATCGGCCCTGCGTTGCTCGGACATCGGATTGAGTCGGATATCGCTCGGATAAAGTTTAAGGCGACGTTTCTTTGCTCTCGTTGAGCATTGGAATCTTCGAGGCCTGCAGCGAAGTGTGTGCAATGTATCTGGATACACAGTTTGACTACAGAAATTGTGTGAGTCGTGCTTGGCAGTGTGCAATCGTGGTGCCGCTTCGTTCAAATAACGGAAGGCTCACTTTGGTTGTGCGGCGCACCGGAGAGCTGCCTTGAAGCTGGTAGGTCCCGTACCGTGCTAAAAGATGCTGTACTGCTTCCAAAATTGTTCCGGTGGAGGCGTGCACTTTCAGGGAGCACAGGTGTTGCAGTTGGTATTGATTCTGCTGGCCTGTCGCACGTTTCGTGGACACAAACGTTTCATCAACACTTGTTACGCGAATTGCAAGCTGTACGGACATCTCACCGAGCGTGTTACCTACCCAGCTCACCCGTTGACGCCGCTTTGCGGCGACAGTCTGCAGTGGCTTGTCACCAGAAAAGTGGTCTCACATCCATTTCAGTTCAGTTAGGCAGTCGTCAAACTCCGAAGGAGAAGATTTATTCCGACAGTATGCCACCAAAGCAATGCAGCTTCTTTAGTGGTCAGGATCGACTTTCTTCTATCAGTTTTGTTATATTGTCACGGATGCTTGTTCCAGTCCTATGTTCTATAAATATTTACTATTCTGGAAAGTTCCAGGCCATGCTCGGCTGTCATCGTATGTTCTGGTGAAGCTGCTGGGTACTTTACCTATAGCCCTTCCCTATGTGTGCACCCTGGCGGCTCCTCAGCTGAGTTGCCCGATAACGGGACACGGGTGGCGGGCTATCCCGCGTCATAAACATCTGGCGAAACGTGAACCAAGTCCCATCCCGAGCCGGACAAAAAATCCGAGACACCGAACGAGTACAAGAACGAACCTCGCAAATACACCACGAAGAACCTGGAGTCCGAGCCAGTCGCTACTACCAGGAAGAACCACCGGAATTCGGTCTCCTGCCAGAAAAGCCGAAGCTGACTAAGCCACTCAAAAAAGATATGCGAAGTACAAATAAATCGGTTACCGTGCTGTCCTCTGGAGTTACAGTTATTGAAACGCAAGCGTCCGCTAGCGCTTCAACACTAAAAAATTTGCATGGAGATATTGTGACATCTGGGACAGTGTTATCTGTGGTGACGGTGCGCCTTTCTGTTCTTGAGGCTCGTTGCGAAAATGCCGAAAATAGACAAAGGCGTAACAACTTGATTATTCATGGCTTACCTGATACAGATAGTGAAAAGTGGGCGATCACTGAACAAGTGGTCCTAAAAATGTGTTCAGAGAAGCTTGGCCTTAGTTTAGATCAAAGCTGGATTGAACGTGCCCACAGATTGGGTCGTTTTGGTCCGAACAAAAACCGCCCAGTAATAGTAAACATGTTGTCTACTACGCACAAGGATTTGATCCTTAACGATGCCCGCAAGTTAAAAGGTACGGGATACTCCGTAAATTAGGATTTTTCCCCAGCAGTGCGTGAAGCACGACGAGTTTCGCTCACCTTTGCGAAAGTTCAAAGTGAAAGATTTAAGCTTCGTTATAATAAAACTTCCATTGGTAATAACGCTTTTGTTTATGATCCTGTGTGCAGCAATAACCCAGCATGAAGCTGGGCATGCTGGGACCAACTTGTGCTGTTTTTTTTCAATAGGGCCATACAGGTCAAGCTCATTAATCTTACATAATCAAAACAAAATACAAACCGCAAAAAAAATATGTGTGCTTGATAAATATAATTCTAGGTCTACGATGGTGACAATAGATGATGGTAGGCTGTTTCAGTCTTAGAGGGCTTGAGGAAGGAAAGACTGATTGAATGCGTTCGTTCAATCGGAAATGCGTTCGATTGTGCAGGAGTTAAGGCGAAACGATGTTTTGTCAGGAGGTGATAACAACGAGTTTTTGAGGTCGGATCAATGATCTTAGACTCTACGAAGAAGAGAGAGGCGAGAGAGTTTTCTGGGGAGCTGCAAAGAGGACTGCGTTAGTTGGACTTTTTAAGGCGAATACACTGACTGAAAAATAAAAGGTGGACAAGATGAAACGAGCGGCCCGGTTTTGTACTGCCTACAGGTGGTTGATGAGGTGGGCCTGCCTGATGGTGACTCCCAGGTGGAGCCTGCATATTCTAATTTTGGTTTGATGAACGTGTCGTACGCCATTTTGCGGACTAGTGAAGGAGCACCGTGCAGGTTACGTCGGATGAAGCCTAGAGTTCTCGATGAGTCGGCATGTATGGCTTGAGTTCCATGACAGGTCTGATGTTATTCTTTCATTAACGGTTTCGATTAGGTCAGAGTCAAGGAAGTACTGATGATTTTTTTCTGGTGAAGCGAAGTAATTTGCATTTGGATTTGTTTAGTGACATCAACCAGGTGTTCCACCATTCGTTATTTTTGAGGAGGTCAACTTTTAGCTGGCTGTGATCATGCAGACATGTTACTTTGTTATGGACGACGCAGTCGTCTGCGAAGAGGAGAATTTTAGAGGAAATGGTGAAAGGAAGTTATTGACCAATATTACAAAAAATAGTGGCCCGAGAACGAACACTCGCAGAACACCAGAGGAGACATTTGTTAAGGTGGACACGTGATTAAAGGAAGTCGTGTATCCATGCAAACACCAAAGGAACAAAGTGAAGAGAGGACAGCTTGGAAAGGAGGCATTGATGGGGGACACGGTCAAAACCTTTGGAGAATCCACGAACGACCGCGTAGGTCTCAGCATGGCACTCGATTTTAGTGTGTAGGTCATGGACGGAAGTCTCAGATCTGCGTCTCACAG